AGGCTGCTCACCTCTGGCCTGCTTTCACTCAGCTTCTGGGGTCTGTGTGGTGTGGCTCCATACCTCTTGCCCCTACCACACTCCCCCTCTCAGAAAGAATCAACCTCAACATCTGGTGCCCAACATGACAGAGAGAGACAGCAATGTTGGACTCAGGGAGGTTCCCTCTTGATTTCAGCAAGTAAGCCCCTCAGTGTTTTGTGTGTTGTTCGGTTCTGGGAGAGTGAGCACAGAAACCCCTCCTATGCCCATTTCCTTGTCATTTTCCTTGGTCTAAGTGACTGCAGGTTAGGCGTACACCACCCAGAAGTGTAACACCGCTTCTCAGCTCTACCCTGTACTTTTGGTTTGCCCACTGAATTCACATAAGTGACTAATCACCCTCACTGGAGAGAGGTGACACTCTGGAGACACTGGGTGGGCATACAGCCTTGACCTAACAAATCAAGGAAGTCCCCCACTAAGTACAGGACATACTTAGGATCTGATACACCACTGTATGTTTGTCTAACATAGGGAACCCCTTGCATAATGCCATCAGCCACTGAGGTGCTAAGAATTTGTTTTCTTATGGCAGCAGTGCTGTGTGTGTCTTTCCTTTGGCTAGAGTTGACATTGTGTGACATGCTGCTCTTAAACACTCAAACATGGGAAAGATACCCACCTCTCAGAAACCCACACAGATTACCAAACATCATGAATCTGTGAGTGATAAAAGCCTGACACTCCAGGCCGCCACCTCACAGGCAACAGTCAATGACTTAGGGAGAGAGCTCTGACAGTGAAAATGACATGACAGCAAACAATGTAGCAATGCCTAGTCAGACACCCTCCAAATATTCATGGGATGAACTTAGATGACCTTGAGGCAAAAACCTATGTGAGGTCAACCTATCTGCACCCAGTGAAGATCCCCACATTTTTGGCAGTCCCTGGGCACCCCAGGCTCTCAGGGCAGCCACTAGACTCCATCCCACCCACATGTTTGCCATTAATAGAGGAGTGGACACAGAATTCAGGCCCTGGATTCCAACTCCTGTAAAAAGGCTTCTGCTAACCAAAGGCTGAGGATATGCTTGTGTCTTTCCAGAGAATGCGGGACAGCCCATTTGGGTACCAGCCAGAAACATCAAGCCTGCAATTGACAGTCAACCAGAACAGCTGAACAAGACTGAGAGTCTGTCTTGTTAGTCGATGCACCTGCTACCAATTGTCAAGCTGCTGCCCTATCATCCTACCCTGAGGAACTGCCCATAGCCACATCCACTAGTGCTTTATACCCCACTTAGCTCTGGTCAGCCATTCAAATGGCCCACAGCCTGTGTGCAGTCATGCCATTCCTGATTACCATGTGCCTCATTCCTACCCCTATTTGAGCAAGCATTCCTGTGGTCTCCCATTTTGAGCACTGGTAAGTCAATAATGGATAAGATCACCTGGGGGACAACCTAAGACAGGCCAACCACATGGAAATGGGGTCAACAATGGTATGGCCAAGAATCATGCATCAGTTCTGCTTCAAAACCCACCTGGCAACAGAGCCTGCCTGGCAACGGGCTGTGATTTGTTAGGGCATAAACCACCCCTTGGCTGGATTGGCTATCTCGGTTATTTAAGCTTCTGTACCAACTGAAATAAATGAGTCTGTGGGCTGCTCACCTCTGGCCTGCTTTCACCCAACTCCTGGGGTCTGCATGGTGACTCCATGCCTCTTTTTTTTTTTTTTTGACAGGAAGAGTGGACAGTGAGAGAGAGAGAGAGACAGAGAGAAAGGTTTTCCTCTACCGCTGGTTCATCCTTCAATCCTTCAATGGCCACCGCTGCCAGTGCACTGTGCTGATCCGAAGCCAGGAGCCAGGTGCTTCTCCTGGTCTCCCATGGGGTGCAGGGCCCAAGCACTTGGGCCATCCTCCACTGCACTCCCAGGCCACAGCAGAGAGCTTGACTAGAAGAGGGGCAACCAGTACAGAGTCCGGTGCCCTGACCAGGACTAGAACCTGGTGTGCTGGTGCTGCAAGATGGAGGATTAGCCTATTGAGCTGCAGCACTGGCCCAACTCCATGCCTCTTGACCCCACCACGCTGCTCCTCTCAGAACGAATCCACAGCAACAAGTTTGGATATACCTAAGCAATCTGAATATAGACCTACCATAGGACCCAGTCATTTCCCTCCTGGAATTTTACCAAGGGAAGTTTAATCAGTGAATAAAAGCTTTATCTGCACTCTTATGTTTATTACAGCTCAGTTCACAGTAGCTAAGACATGGAATCAACTTAAATGCCCTTCAACCAAAGACTGGATGAAGAAATTATGGAATATGTACATTATGGAACACTACACAGCAGTAAAAAATGAAATCAATTCATTTGCAACAAAAATGGATGACTCTGGAAAACATCATACTTAGTGAAATAAGCCAGTCCCAAAGGGACAAATACCATATGTTCTTCCTGATCTGCTAGAACAAATAGAGCACCTAAAACAACATCTGCAGAAGTGATGTTGACACTTTGAGATGGCATGTCCTGAGCTGCCTTTGTCTTGACTCTCATGAACAGTTTTTTTTTTTCTCCTTATACTATTTGTTGAACTGATTACTTAACAAAGTTCTTCATATGTGTATAAAGTCAATTGAGGATGAATCTCAGTAAGAAAGAAGACTGGGAATAAGAGAGGGAGGAGAGTTTTGTCCAGGTGAGGCATCACATGTTTAGAAGATAAATGCCACTACTATGCAATCTGAGAGGAGATGACACCATCTCATAGCAGGTAAAGCCATATATGGTAAAACTTACAATGAGGATAACACTTGTGTTTAACATAATAATAAAATGGCGTATTTACCATGTATACAGAATGTAAATATAACTGTATTTTTTTATAAAATAATGTTATAATTCACCATTCATAATATAACCATACTTTACTAATTAATATTGTGATAACCATGAGAAAATAAGCTTTACCAAAACTATCCTTCTTGAGGAAACCATTCTGGTACAGCGGCTTAAGCTATCACTTAGGACACCTGAATACTAGATCAGAATTCCAGTTCAAGTCCTAGTTACTGCATGCTTCTGACCATCTTCATCCTGCTGCTCATGCACCTGGGAAGTAATACATGATGGCTCAAGTACTTGGGTCCCTGATGTACATATGGGAGACCTGAATTGAGTTCCCCAGTCCTGCTTTGCCAGGCACAGCCTCAGGTTTTGTGGGCATCTAGAGGGGTGAACCAGTGGTGGAAGATTCTCTCTCTCTCTCTCTCTCTCTCTCTCTCTCTCTCTCTCACACACACACACACACACACACACACACACACATAGACATACACACATAAACACAAACACTTTATGTGTGTATGTTTGTACATTTAAAAATAGCATTTGAGTTTGTGCAGGTGGCTTGTGTCTGTCATTATAGTCCTTTTGTTTTATGTGCATGTCTAACCTAAGCCCAGAAATTTTATCAATCTTTTGATTTCTGGTTCATTTAATTGTGGTATTTTCCTCACTGTGATCCAGGATTACCTTTGTGCATTGGAATATATGGTGAAAGCCGGAAAAAGGAATGAATGTCGTCCACACTTTCTGTCTCCTGAGACTGTTCATGGGCTTCACCTTCAGACCAAGTATCCACAGGTTGTCACTTCTTAGAGTGATAACTGAACTGTACATCCAGATTTTAAGTAGTTACCTTGTTCAATAAAGGACCCAATTATTCTTTACACTCTGACAGAATTATAGGTGACCATGCTCAAACTTTCTTCTATTCCATTTCTCACACATCAGTAGAATTTTATTATAAATTCAGTGATCATGAAATGATGAGACTGCCAGATTACTCACAGAAAAACTTATGATGTTAAATTAAGTTTAAAATGTAAATATACAATAAATATTATTTTTTGTATTCTTACATATGGTATAGACCACCTAAGCTAGGGAATTTAGACAACTCTTCAAAAGAAACTATGTAAGTGATTGTACTTCATTTGTTATTGACCTTCCACACCAACCATGTTTTTCCCTCATTCTGGCTGCATGTTACCCAAGAGTCTCATAGTAAAAAGACTGCAACTGAAGATCTGTGAGATCAAATCTGTTTCAGGGAATGGTGGGCAATTACAGAATGAAAGATACAAGTTAGAGAGAATCATCCAAATATTGCTATGCAGTAAGAATAAAATATTTAAACTCTTATCTACTCTTTTATGTAATTAATTTGTCTCTTACTGAATTGCTAATAATATTAGGAGTAGATCAGTGTAATTATATACATATACAGCTATAAGAGTTGCATAGGTATTACTCCATGCTAATATTAATGAATGGGATAGAGTTTATTATGATCCTTCTAACATGGAAATAGTCCTTTAGTCAATATGATCCTGGGGCTTTTCCTGGAGCTATATTGTCCAGAGAGTACAGATGTATGTTTATGGAACAATAAGTTCTTCAGTTTTGATACATAAATATGTTTGGTATATTATCCTTTGAAGAAATTTCAACAAGTGCTTAATCACCTGGAAAATGTGTCCTTTGACACATAACTCATGCAGGTGACATGGTTGTAGAGGAATTTTCTACTTCAGCCATTCTTTGCTGAATATGAATTTTGTTTGCTCTGTGTGTGTGTGTGTGTGTGTGTGTCTGTTTAAACAGAATGCTTCAAAAAGTTTACAAGAAAATGAAATTAAAAACACATTTATTTTGTTGCAAAAGTTTTTGAAATCTACAAATAGAAGAATATTCAAAGGGTTCAGAAAATGGATGTCATGACAAAACTTCATTTATTATAGAGAGTAGTTCAGAATTTTACTACCAAGAATTTACATAAAATAAACTGGATTTGTTAGAAGTAAGTGGGTGAAATAAAAATGATGATTTATGATTATTTTCATGAAAAAAAGACTTGATGATAGGTCACCTTTTTGTTTGATTTTCAGGTATCTAACATGTTTCTTCTATGCTGTTAAGATCAATGAAATTTCCAATTATGTTATTAAAAAATATGTGTTTTTTCCAAGCTGGAATTGGAATCTTAGCCAATGCCTTCCTTCTTCTCTTCCACATCTTCACAATCTACCACACTCATAGGCCTAAGCCTACTGATGTGACCATCTGTCACCTGGCTTTTGTCCACATAGTGTTGCTACTCTCTACACCAGATATTTTATCTGCAGACAAGTTCAAGTCACTGAATTTTCCAAATAATGTAAAATGTAAGGCTTTGTTCTATATGATCAGGTTGATGAGGGGTCTCTCCATCTGTACCACCTGCCTCCTTAGCATCATTCATGTCATTTTCATCAGCCCCAGCACCTCCTGCATGATAAGATTTAAGCAAAAACTCACAAATTACACTATCCATGCTTTCTTCTGTTTTTGGTCCTTGAACTTGTCCTCCAAGAGTAGCATGATAATGTACTCTGTAGCTCATTCAAACATGACCCATCTACTCCATGCCAGTAAGTACTGTTCACTTTCCTCAATAAACTCTATCATCAGGGAAATATTTTTTATTCTCACATTGCTGCAGGATATCTTTTTTGTAGGAATCATGCTTCTCTGCAGTGCATACATGGCGATTTTCCTAGCTAATAATCATCAGAGAAGATCTGAGTACCTTCACAGCATGAGCATTTTACCAAGAATCTCTCTAGCAAAAAGGGCCACCCATACTGTCCTGCTGTTGGTGAGTTTCTTTGTGATTGTGTACTGTGTGGATATTATAATGTCATCCTTCTCAACCATATTGTGGAAATATGATACAGCTGTCCTGGGTGTCCAGAGACTTGTGGGAAATGTCTATACCACTGTCAGTCCTTTTGTGCTTATTAGGGCTGATAAAAGAATAATTGGTATTCTACAAAACATGATTGTTATGACATCCATTTTATCAAGTCAATGAAACAAATCTAAAAACATAAATCATAACATCCATTAAATATTTTACAAATTCAAGATTTTAAAGTATAATCTATACATGTAGATTTTTACTTGTATTTTTAACTTGCATCTAATTTTTTTTTTTTTTTTTACTTTGACACTGCCAAAGACTATGTGCCTCTCTTAGTTCAATGGTCTTCATGAATTGAAGCTTTTTCCTCTGCACTTTCTTAACTTAATGCAGAAAAAAATTTTCTTTCTCTTTTTGGTGTGTGCACCTATGAATTTTCTTTTGGTACCTAATCCCAAGATCTTCTTTTCTTTTAAGAAGTTAAGAAATGATCTTCTTACTGCAGAAAGTATTCTAAATTTACTTTTCTTTTTGGAGGCATATGAAATTACTATCGAATTCTACAGTAATGACAGTTTCTCTGTGATCTGTCAATATTTATTTCTGTTTTCACACTATACAACTATGGGAATTTTGCTCTTGTCTTTGTAGACTGTAATCCTCCATTTTTCACTTCTGTCAATCTTGTTTTCCTCTTTGGTGTTACAAAGTGTGAATATTAGTATTTTTATTAAATTTTCACTTTTTACACAATCAACTTGTGAATTCATGGATTTGTGTCTTGTGGTCAAGTTTTGAAACTTACACAATATAAATAATTAGAATATTGTCTTTTATTTTGTTTCCACAGTTCAGAGAAACAATTAGATTATTTAATTCCTTCTCATTCTAACCTTTATTTATGTAAATTTATATTAAAAATTGTATGAATCTAACTTCACTGTATTTGTCTGCACTAACTGTATAATGTTCAACATGTTTTATGTTAAGTTGATTCAATATACTTTTAGTTATTTACTTTCTTTTTCCAAACATGCCTTTTTATGCATATAGTTTCTTGTCATTTTCATGTTAATGCTTTTTTTTTTGTGATTCCTGATCCCCATTATATTGACTTAGATGTTAAAAATATAATCCATGTGTTTGAAGCTTAGGTAATGTGGAATTCCATTTTGGCATGTTATTTCTCATGCGAAAAATAATATAAAGATTGATTCTCATATAAGTAAGAAATAATCTTGGATATTTTGAAGCTAGTTATTTTTAATGCCTTTTGATCCCTCTGATATGAACTATGCAAATAAATTTGTCATAGTTGTGGTGAATCCTCTATGAATGGAATATTTGCTTATTAGTTTGCTATTTTCCCTGAACAATTTTCCTTGTCATTGGGAGTCCTCAAAATTTTATTCCAATTTTATTAGACATATTCACGAATGTAATAGCATTGAATATTTTACCTTTTTCCACTGTGGTTGCTAACATTTTTCTCCAAAAGTGCAATTATCAACAGTATAGAGAATGGCATTTCACATAGATTTTCTGAATTAGACAACAATATTTCACGAGAAATCCCCTTTTCCTTTCATTTGGAACACACTCCTCCTCACCAATGCACTACAGGATAATGATTATTGGTAAAATATAATTTTAACACTATAAAACATTCCATATGCTTCACAAACCTATGAAATATTACACTCCTTGTCAAGAATGGTACATATATACAAGTTCAGAATTAGTTTTGCTATAGCTTTAAAATAATATTGGTAGGCTTATTATCTGAACTCAGGATTTCATCTTTTATCATTTTTCCTCATTAAAATTCTCATTAATCTTCAAAAATAATCCTTCTGAATTTCTTGTTTAAATTGTAAGTTAATTTAAACAGTTTTCATTAAATGTACATGTAGGTACATATCAGGTTTTGTGGTTACATTTTACATGATGTTTTCTATTGTCATTACAGTGCCCATAAAATATTCTCTGGTGTATTTCTGCTGTGAGGGACTTAATTACAAATTTATGTGTA